TTGATCTCCATATCCCTTAACAGCAAAATATCCTTCGCATTGTACTAAGAATATTCGTAGCTTATCTTCAGCTCCTTCGTATGTGTCGGGTTTCTTTGCTTTTGGTCGTTGGACATTTCCTTGCCCTGTATTTCGCGTGGCTGCGAGAAATGCCTGAAACTGATTTTCGGTCATTCCAAGTATACTGGTTCCTGGTGCCGAAGCAGCTGGGGCCTGGGGCCCAGGTACTGCGGATCCAGATATTCTCTCAGGTCGTGGAGTTCCAGCAGGAGAGCTATCAACTGGTGATCCTTTCTCTTGGGTTACTGGGCTTGCTGCTCTCGAGGGTTCTGCTGAGACGTGATCTAAGGCGTCGCTGAATCCTCCTAGATTAAGATTTTGATCGTCAATGTTAATATCTCCTTCCGTGTCTGGGTTGAAGGATGCCGTCTTGTATCGTTTGGCATCGCACTAGGTGACGCTTTGTAATATAATGATCCCCTTTTAGATAGTTAGTTCTTGGCGATGGGGAACGATACTTATCTTCTCTATCCTCTTCTTTCTTTGTCTTACGATAGCTCTAGGCCTCTGCCTACGTTACCAATAGTACAAGACCTTTGTCTTCTATCGGAAACGCCTATCGTAAGCTTTCTCTAACTCGTCTTCGTGACGAGCACTTTTTGGCGTAATGATAACGTTGCAATAAAGATAAAGATCATAAAGGTGTTTTATATTCGTTAAAGTAATAAGTAGGAAAAGTACTTAGAACAAAGCGTGAAGAACCTATCTTCCTCGGCCGCATCAGCCTCCTTATATAGTATTCTTCCCGCCTGTAGTCATGTTACCTAAAGTGGTCACATGTGCGAAACCAAATCATAACAAACTAATCATGTGACCAAAGTGATCACATGCTCAAAACCCATGACCTTATAGCGAGGTCATGTACAAAACTCATAAACCAATCATAACGTAATAAACAAGTCATATGACTCGACTGAGTCATATGCGCGAAACCCAGGACCTTATAATGAGGTCATGTGCAAAACATAAATCATATGCGCAAGGCTTACCCGCAAGGCATACTTGCAAGGCATACTCGTCAGGCGCACGTCCCATGACTCATACTTGACCCATGTGCGAAAGCATCACAAATCCCACACATAACAAATCATATGACCCTAATGAGTCTTATGTGTGAAACAATAACGTACCTGTGACTCATAACTATGCGTCACGTGAAAACCCTTTCCTCGCTAAGCTATATTCGTGACACTGATGGAGTTACTAGTGCTTGAGGTAACTGTAATTATTGTCACAGGGTTGTCAGCATATTCTGAAACTGTTCCTCATTGAGTCCAGCATGTGAACTACTGGGCTTTGGACTGTAGCTCCTTGTTGTTCATGTTCTTAATCTATTTTTTCTCTTTAAGTAAGGAGTAGCAATGCAAGTAAATGTTAGAATAGCTACTTAAGTACTCTTAGGATATAGTTATTTAACAGGTAACGAGTTTTATTATTAAAGTAATATGCATGATTCCTTCAATCTTCTTCAATGCAGTAATCACCTTGTAGTTGTCTCCTGTTGCTTAAGAAAATACTCTTATTTTCTTGAGTACTGCAACACTAAGTGTAGTTCACTATGCTTGTCATATTTTTCCAGTAAGGGATATATGGAGGACTTGAATGTATAATAGTATTCACAAAAATATCGGTTAGAAAATAACTTAGGTGGTGATATGAAGAACTATCTCAAAGGCTAAACTTGTCACCTTACATATACCTTCCCACAACCCGCTTACAAATCCAATTATGATATGAATTGCAGCTGTATCCTATATGACTACATGATCCATCGTTTTCATATCATCTTCTTATATCATCTATATAGCCCCTAAGACTCTTAAGCAAGCCACATGTGTGAAACCTAAGTAAGCCTTACAAAGCTTACTTGTATCCAACTAACAATCCCAATATAACATAATGATTATGACTTAAAATCCAAGTCATGTGTACAAACAATAATCATAATATCATACAACTCAAATGAGTTGTTAATCAAAACTATACCATATAAAATCCTTTACAAACTATGCCAGACTTTTAACACCTAGTTCTACTTCACCTAAATTGTAATTAGAAAGATCCTAGAATCTCCTTAATTATTTTGTTATTTTCTTTTAAACTTTCAGTACAAGCTAACCACTTGACCACATCTGACATTATCAAAGAAATCCACTTCTGCATACACTATCTCTACTGATAAGAGTGACTGGAAGCAAGTTGTAGTATTGTAAGACTCATTAAAATTACGTGTTTTGCTACCTGCACTTTATATTGTATTCTTTAATACTATTTCAAAATCAATGGCTATTAGGAAGAGACAATCTATAAAGACTCAGAATCATTTCGGCCAAGTAATATTCGTTTCATAGAGGGAGACCTGTCTAGCAAGGCTCGAAAGGTTCATCATTTCATTTATAACTACTAAGAGTAATATAAAGTAGAATCGAATCATAAAATCAATATTATACTATTATGGTCTCTTCTCCAGTACTTGATAATGTCTAAAAGCTTAGGAAACACTTCAATATTTATATTCCATGTCTGAGTGTTTATAGACTACCCCTATCTCTTATACAATGTATTTACCTCTCTGACTATAACTCACAATATCAGGTATTCTCCCAAAGTGCGAAGACTAGCAGATCCTGAAAACTATCACAATCTCCTTGGTAATTACTATTTTGTCAATTGGGGAACTTTATTGTTTCCAATAGTAATTATCTGATCTTCAGAGTTCTTAGACTTATGGCCAAGTTCTCAAGTCAAACAGTGTTGGTCCCAATTGTCTCTCCTCCTGATGAATGGATCAGTTTCATCTAAGGGTTATGTCTACAGGTATAGTCATATCTGCAACCTTCCTAGGTCATCAACTTTAAACCTTCATCGCACCTGATCCAACTAACAGATATCTTCTGAATGACTTTCTTCTAATTCACAAGAAGCTATTTTACCAGATTGGCAGATAATGCCTTGGTCAGCAACTCCTGCTTATCTTAAGTAACATGTCTTTCGTCTTTGTTTAGTATTAGTGATAATTCCCGCAACTATAACGTATTTCTTAGCATAGTTGTAACACTCTGAAATGTTTATTAGCTTCCTCGGTAGTACTACCTTGGTATTCTAAACGCTTCTAATTATTGTAAAGTAGATGAGTGTAATGATCCCCTTTTTAGATAGTTAGTTCTTGGCGACGGGGAACGATACTTATCCTTCCTGTCTCCTTCTTTCTTTATCTTACGATAGCTCTAGGCCTCTGACTACGTTACCGATAGTACAAGACCTTTGTCTTCTATCGGAAATGCCTATCGTAAGCTTTCTCTAACTCGTCTTCATGATGAGCACTTTTTGGCGTAATGATAACGTTGCAATAAAGATAAAGATCATAAAGGTGTTTTATATTCATTAAAGTAATAAGTAGGAAAAGTACTTAGAACAAAGCGTGAAGAACCTATCTTCCTCGGCCGCATCAGCCTCCTTATATAGTATTCTTCCCGCCCGTAGTCATGTGACCTAAAGTGGTCACATGTGCGAAACCAAATTATAACAAACTAATCATGTGACTAAAGTGATCTCATGCTCAAAACCCATGACCTTAAAGCGAGGTCATGTACAAAACTCATAAACCAATCATAACGCAATAACCAAGTCATATGACTCGACTGAGTCATCTGCGCGAAATCCATGACCTCATGATGAGGTCACGTGCAAAACATAAATCATATGCGCAAGGCTTACCCGCAAGGCATACTCGCAAGGCATACTTGTCAGGCACACGTCCCATGACTCATACCTGAGCCATGTGCGCAAGCATCACAAATCCCACACATAACAAATTATATGACCCTAATGAGTCATATGTGTGAAACAATAACGTACCTGTGACTCATAACTATGCATCACGTGAAAACCCTTTCCTCACTAAGCCACATTCATGACAATGAGAATGTATTGGCTCTTCATAGAAATCCTGTAACATTCAATATCATATCTTTATGCAAAACTGTCGCGTTACTTACAGCCCATGCCAACAATGTCCCATCTTTGATGCCTAGTAACTCTCTGGGTAGTTGAAGGATTTACTCCTTTCAACTTCCCAGATCTAGCTGTAGTGCCCCTCATATATATCCTGCAAACAGGGTCTGGTTGGAGAGACAATAGCAATGTATATAGTGTTATTCTAATACCTTCAATTCTGTGGCATTATTGTCACAGGACACAACTAAGATATATATGTATGATGATGTACATGCCCCAGAAGGAGACTAGAGGGGGGTGTTGGAGACTAGAGATTCCAATTCCAAGTGGGGTTACCCTACTTAGTGTGGTTCCTAGGTATTGGATCCCGGTACTCCTAACAATGGCACATATCTCTCCTTCTGAGGTAAGAACTTCTTGAGACTCCCTGATCAATGATGTGTACTCTTAAGGTGTAGTAGTTTTCCCTGCATTTAATCATACATGAGATTGTCTAATGATTACAGTCAATTCACATGCCAACTCAGCAGGTATCCTACCAGCCTCTTGTGCTGCTGGAACAATGGAAATAATATCTTTGAGTATCCCACGAAAAGTCCTACTGTTTGTGCTTATTTCTTTACGGAAAACCTGTTTTTGTTTTTGTTCTTTGTTTTTTTTGTTTTTTCTCTTTTTTTGGAAGTGTGATCGATGGGGTTGTGGTGATTCGAAGATGGTAGGGTAGCTGTGGTCAATCCCTTAATTGAACATGGTCGCATTTGGTGGGACGGGGTGGGACAGTACTTTTGAATGGTGAGTTTGATAATACCTTCCGGCTGGGTTGTAACGGTCACGGCGCATGTACAGTACCACCAAGACTAGTCTACGACAAGTAGCTGTAGTAAAAATCCGAGATCTGTCCCACATGTCCACTCTCCGTGCCTTGTGTGCGAACAACATCCTGTCACCAAGGACGCCCCCCCCTCACTAACGACCCCACCAGAATGTCAATCCCAAACCCTGTAATAATCCTAACTGGAGGCTCCCGAGGTTTTCCCCCCACCCCCGGCCCATCACCACCTTCTAACCCTCCTCCCCCTCAGGAACCGGCCTAGCGATAGCAACCCACCTCTTAACCACCACATCCGCACACGTTCTAGCCATCTCGCGCAGCACCCCACTAACCCTCCAACACCTTCAACTCACCTACCCCGACACCTTCCGTCACCTCCCGGCCGACCTCTCCAACTCCACGACTGCCCCACAGGCAATCGCAACAGCAATCAATACCTGGGGCCGCATAGACTCTCTTATTATTAACCATGGTGTTCTCGACCCCGTTGCAAAAATAGCCGACGCAAACGTTGAAGAGTGGGAGCGGGCGTTTCGGACGAATTTTTTTGCGGCGGTCAGGCTGATTAGCGCTGCGTTGCCCTCGTTGAGGGGGAGGGGTGGGGGGGGGAGAGTGGTATTCGTGAGCTCTGGAGCGGCGGTTACGGGGTATCAGGGCTGGGGGGCATACGGTGCCAGTAAAGCTGCCTTGAATCATCTCTGTGTCACACTTGCGGCGGAGGAGGCGGGTGTTATTGCTGTTGCCGTTAGGCCGGGAGTTATTGGTTTGTCTTGTGTCTCCTTCTGCCTTGCGATGTGGGCTGGGCTGATGGTCTGGAGGGGTAGATACGCAGATGCAAGAGGATATCCGCGAGAAACACAGTGAAGGAATGGGCGCCAGCCATGAGCGGTTTCGGAAGTTGAAGGAGGAGGGAAAGCTATTGCGGCCTGAGCAGCCAGGGAATGTCATTGCCAGGTTGGCGCTAGAGGCCGAACGCAACCTCACAGGAAAATTCCTCAAGTATAACACCATCACCATTGTCTACGACGTGACTAACGAATCACAGTTGGAACGACGAGCAATTGGCCAAATATCAAGACAGAACACCCCCATAGATATAGATTAAATTAAACCCCCTTGAACAATATATGATATATATCCAACACATTGGCTAATTCTTCTTCCTGGCATCATTCACCGTGAACACTAGTATCCATAGAAAGGAAAAACTTGGAAACTCTTGGAGCGTTAGCACTATATCCACAACCACCCCATCTCAAAAAACATAATCAAAAATTAATAAGCAAAGGCAAATCAGTCGAAAGATGAAAAGTCGAGACAATTGTTTCATTCACAAAGCCGAAGCTCTCCGCATTAGCATGGAGTTTCGTTCATCATGCAGGCCCCCCCCTCCCCATCCAGCAACGCAACAAAAAGTAGGAAAAAAAGGGTCTCACCATCAGCCCACCAACATCCAACCAAGCCCCACAACAAGCAGCCTCTAAACCGCACACAGCCAATATCAGCCAGCCATCCAGCACAACTCGCCAATTCCCATTCTCATTTCAACCCGCACCCCGCACGGATAGTACTCGATCATGAAAAACCCAGCCACATCAGGTAATCGAACCAATTCTCTCCACATAAGGTGATTAAGACGCATGGATCACGCTTGTCGCGATCTTTTGTTTCATCATTATGACTTTACTTTCTCTCTTTCTCCCAGCTTTACCCATCGTTTGCGTGGTGAGGAATGGGTAGCTAAAGAATCCAAAACATACCATTTATTCCACTCGACCGTCGAGAGATCCCCTTATACTAAGTAAAAACTTTTATCAGGTTAGTTAACCGAAACAGAGGTTGCATAAGAATGAATGGTGGATAGGAAATGAAAGGCGGGATGAATCAGATATCGTCCGTTTGGCACAGGACAAGTGTAAGTCACCATCAAGAAACTAGTTCTTGTCATGATAGGGGCGACACGAATTGCTCATCATATATATTCCCCGTGACAGGGAAATGGACAATTGAAGAATTGCGGAGCGGGGGGAGGGGGGGTAGTGCACGTACTGCTTTTTATTTTTCATGTTTGATGTTGGTGGTTGGCGGTTGGTTAAAACATTTGGAAAGGAGGGATTCCTGAGAGTTGTATTTAAGTCATTTCGAACAATACCATTGTTTTTGCATAGCGTTGGTTGCGCTCGGTGGTGGGTAGCAAGGTGGGTTGAGCTGTTATAAGAAAGTCAGAAGGGCACGAGTACCACGGTAGTACGAGCACGAGTACAAGTACAAGTTACTCGGCAGGCACCTTTGCACCTCCCCAGCGCCCTGGTACTGTACCACTCCACTCCCCCCCAACAACGCAATGCCAACCTTCACCTCAAAAAAATACCACCCCCCAACCCTCCAAAACACCATCGGTGCGCGCTACCGACGCAGCCTCTCCCGCCACCCATTCCTGCTCTTCGGCCTACCCTTCATCGGCACCATCCTAGCCGGCAGCTTCTTCCTGACTCCGGTCACGGCGCTGCGATATGAGCGTCACGACCGCAAGATCCAGCGCGTCAGTCAGGAGGAGGCCATGGGGCTTGGGCGGAATAAGCGGAAGGTGGATTTGAATGAGGAGTACTATGTATGTTGCTCGCCTCCTCACCTTGCACTCAGGGGGGCGAGGTGGATTCGGGCTGACATGTTGGGGGGGGGGGGTTATAGAGGCTTGCCGCGAAGGATCTGGATAATTGGGAGCAAAAGAGGATTGAGAGGTTCAATGGGGAGCCGGATGGGACTTTGTGAGTTTAGGGGTTTAGGGAGGGGGATGTTCGTGGTCTAATTACCCTCTTTTTTTGCCCCTCCTTTATCTGTTCAAATACCGGTGGAACCACTTTACTTAACCATTCGCACAACTACTGGAGAATATTGTTACCTGTCAAAAATAAGCGAACGACCACGGGTAGCAATTGGAGAAGTTCCTAGGTACTTGTGAAGAGTAGGTTTAACCCAGTTTTGCAGCGACTCCATGAAATCCCTCGCCTCTCCCAGCTGTAGGACAGACGGCGACAAACCGACCAAGGGCTCCCCTTGAGGTAGTTTCCGGCCAAACGGGCAATACCCACGATAAAGATTCTCACCTAGTCTTGGTTAGCTTGCAAATTCTATGGATGCTCCTCCAGTTGCTACCGGGACTCGTCTAATTATTTTTGAGGGGTGACAATACGATAAAATAATAAATTTAATAGAGGGGTTTAGCTGTACTGTGCTATCAGTGTTCCGTGCTAAATGGAACAACTAGTTTCGGGGAAGACATGATCGCCCACAGTCTGGGTTTAGCCAACCAGTGCTGAAACAGGTTTTGTGCTATTATGTAACAGTGGTGGGTGATTGAACAAGCCTCAGGATATATCTCCACTAAATTGGACAACTGCAAGTCTCCTGCAAATGTATTCCCTATGTTGATTTCACAGTTGCAGCTTGATACCAAAATTTTCAGTCAACTACGTCTATGAGTAGTCTCCAGTCCTTGTCTATAGCGGTCTCAGAGAAGTATCAAAAACAATTAGCGAGTACAATTGTTCTTTTTGCAGCTCTTAGGCACCACCATATAACCAGAAAACATTTGCAACTTAGACAACAGCAAGAGGCAAAAGAAAGGCAAAGGTAAAGGAACAAGTGAATATGGCCACCAATAAGCTATATCCAATGACTAGACTGGTCAATAGACAACCCAGGATACCATTTTTTCCATAATGATCAGAACTTTGTTGAGTACTTCCAGTACGAATCCTTGAAAAGTTGAGTTAGAAAAGAGCTAAGAGTAAATTTAGATTTAGTAAAGAAGAAATTCAGAATATCGTATGGCATAACCACTTGCAGCCATCATCCTAGCTCATCCTGGGTATATTACTACATCGCCTCTCTGCTACTGGAATATGATTAAAAGATGAGATTAACATCTTTGACCATTCTCGTAGCTATTTATCATTAGTTTTTAATGATATCTTAATCTATCTAACCCACCACTATCGGAATTTCCTTTTTTGGGATCATCAGTGACTTACCTTAAATAAGATTTCTGAATATGCAACTGCAGTCAAAAAGATAGTAGGAGGAAGAGGTGTTTGGGGATGGATAGATGGCACAATACGCCTATTTTACTGTCCAGGTAAAAACCAGTTCATATATTACAGCGGCCATAAGAAGGCAGACAGGTTTCAGTTCCAATCAATCATGACTCCAGATGGAATTGTGTCAAGTGTCCATAGACCATATACAGGACTGAATGGTGACTGAATGATTTGGAATAGCTCTGGGCTGGAGGGAATTCTTTACAACCTCCTTGGTGATGGCCTTGAGTAACCAAGGTTTTATCTTTATAGAGATCAAGCCTATTGGCCTGCCTTTGATATTTTGGATCCCTATCAGGCTTCTGTCCCCGGAATAGCCCTCTCCCATACCGAGGAAGCAGCAAATCTGCTGATGTCTAGTACTAGAATTTCAGTTGAATAGGAGTTTAGTTTAAATGTTAATTTATGGGAGATTAATAATTACAAAAAATGATCTAAAATTATGTCATCTCCTGTTGCTGCATATTATCTTATCTCTACCTTGCTCACTAATATTCATACTTGTATTAAAGAGAGAAATATTGTGTCAGATACGTTTAATTATTCTCCTCCTAGCTTGGAAGATTATGTACGACCTTGGCAACAAAAGAAATGTGCCCCCCATAGGTTGCCAAGACATCGCAAATTTTCTCCTCTACTACCACAATGTCTACTCCCCTACTAAAGAAAGACTAATACCAGGATTATAATACTCTATTACATTCCAGAGTTCGCACTTTACAGGACTTGGAATTTTCTAAGTATGAAATCTCACGACGAACTGGTGTTCTTCGGATAACTGTCAGCTGCTGGGCAAGCCACTAATCTGAACAATGTAACAAGTCTCGGTCTGGTTGACCTCTACTCCTCACAATTGCTGCTATCCGCCACCTGGTTCTAATCCTTCACAGCAGCTGGGAGGGCAGAAAGCTTTTATAGACAAAGCTTGAAAAAGAAGCAGGATTATCTGTCTAAAGAATGACAGTTAAGTGGGCCCTAGAAAAGGAGAGATATATGAGGCGTAAAGCTTGCAAGTGGCCTTTCATCTCAAAGGAATGTCAGGGTAAGCACTATTGCTATACAATAAGGCTGCTTGATAAGAGCAAAGACTATTGATGCCATCAAATGTCCTCGGATGAGTCTACTTTTGATATGTCAAAGTGAGGTTCCCAGTGGGTCACCAGGTTGGACAGTGAGCGCTACCACAATGATTGCATTCAACATATATTTCCTAGTGGCCGAGGTTCTGTGAGTGTCTGGGGTGCAATTAGCTATGGTTGGAAATTGGAAGTTGTGTTTTTAGAGGGCACAGGCAAGAGAGGGATCACGGCTACAGATTACCTCAATCAGGTACTGGAACCCATTGTGGAACCGGCATTTCTTGGTCAAAAGGGATATATGACATCTCACGATAGTGAATATGTCGAGGATGCAGCACCATAGCATGGGATTAAAAAGTCGCTCGTAGAGCCAAAAAAAGAGTTGGGTATTCCATTGCACGATAGGCCACCTCAGTCACCAGATCAGAATCCGATAGAAAACCTTTGGAGAATCATGAAACAGGATATTAAAGCAAGAAACCACTTCCCAGAGACTATTGCGGAGATGAGGAGGGCTGTCCAGGAGGAATGGAATCGGCTTCAGCCATCAGACTGAAATCCTTTGATAAATACTATGCCGGAACGAATTTCTGAATTGGGGAAGTATAATGGAATGCAAACCCACTGGTAGATATCTGTATTAATCTTTCCTATCTCTAGTATCTCATTATTACATGTCTTGGTTTTAACAGTTCCTATTGTATTTCAATGATGTAGTTGTAGTTGTTATCGCTATTATTTTTGTTGAGGGGGCATGTTTCTTTTGTTGCCAAGTTCGTACACAGTATATGTTATTAGTAGTTTAGTTATTTGTCTTGTTTTTTGCATTTCTTTACGCTACTTATTACTCTTTTCAATGATTCCTTTTGTCTTTTTCAGTTATAAAAATAGTCAAAAATTATATTGAAAATTGAAAGACAAGTTCATTTATTTAACAAAAGTTCAAGGATACAATCAACCTTTGCCGAAGTATCTTGTACTATTTCTTTAAGCTCTGCTACCTCCTTATATACAATTTGTGACTCTTTTTCGAGCTTACACATTCTTCCATCATCTTGTTGAATATCTTGTAAATCAAATACTTAGCTCATATGTTGTGCTGCTTCAATTAAGCTATCTCCTTGCTTGATATACTTTTCATCCAAGGTAATAGCACAATCCCGCAATTTCCTCTTCCTCTCCCTTGCATTTTCCATCATTTTTCTCTTAGATATACTCTTTGTACTATCATCTGTAAGGTTTAACTCAGTATCTGTATCGTTGGTATCAGTGAGGGCAGCAGCAGCTTTGCGAAAGGTCCTCTTTTTCGACATAGGCCGTAACATATTCTCTCAATCCAGTTTGGCCCTCTCCTGATTGCCTTTTTCTTCCTTCTCTCTGAGCCACTTAGCCAACCCATCTTTCCTTACACAAATGATCCATTCATTCCAGGCATTGAGGGCTTGGTCTAGTTGAGATTCTGCAAATACTGTGCCCCATAATCGTGCATCCTATTCTTAATTCTTAGGCTACTACTACTGGCAAGCAACTTCTTATAAATATAGAAACGGTCTTTTTGATATTAAACTCATATTAGTAGACCGAGCAGTATACAACTTAAGCATTCGCATTACAATTGTTCCAGAATTTGCAATATTTTTTCCCGTACTGTGATTGAACTCCTCCATTTTATGTGTCCAAAATTTCCCCTTCCCTTGCAAATATTCCTCCCCACTAGAGCAGCACAGGCGGACAAGCAAAAGCCCTTCAGAATCAGTCAAACTAGCTCAGTGCCAGATGTGTTCAGAGTGTACAGGGGGGTCAAGGTGTACTGCCTCATTGATTCACCCAATTTCGAAGGATTTAGGTTGGCCGGAAAGTGAGTTTACACTAAGTGGAGAGTTTCTACCACATTGATTGATTAGTGGTACCAGAGTCAAGTGTGGTGGATCTTGTAAATCCATTGAGAACAGGCTCATTTGTTGCCAGAATAGAGGACGAGAGGTAAAGTATGAGAACTATCCTGGTAGATCACTTTTACATGATAACGATCTTATTGTGGCTTATGTCTTGGAATCTTGTTTGGCTAACTTCTTCGAGCTGTTTGCTTATGGGTATACACAGGTTGCAACACCATGCAAGTTATGTGTTAGTTAAAACCGTTTACCATATCATGCATCTTTGATGAAAATATAAACACCTGGACTAGTGCCGTTACCATGGTGAATCGTCTTGTTGCCTCTAGCAATAGCACAATTATCACTTAGCACGGTGCGGCTAAACCCCTCTAATGAAAAAATTCGTATTCACATGCATGCTGGTTGGCAATAAAATGAAGCCCAATCCCACAACCACCACCTCTAACACCAGTAGCTGAGTGCAAAATGAGGCACCCTAGACCAGCACATGATTATCTAGCACCAAGCGCGGAAACAACTAGAATACAGAAAATGAGAGAACATATGAAACGCTAACACCGTTGCCATAAACGGCCAGGGGTATGCCTATCAGTTGCGAAGAGGGGAAGGGAAACATCGTGTGAAGATTTAAAAGCAAGATTTAGGTAGGGGGCGGGTAAGGAAGATGGGAAAAGGCCAACCAATTAATGAATATTACATTACACCCTGGAAGTTTTTTGTTTTTTTGTATGGCTAAAATGAGTGTGCGGAAGAAGTGCTGGGGTACGGGGGCGAATGGGTTAGAGCAAGTCTGAAGGGATATTACTGGATCCATAACCTTTGGATCCGGCCCCCACGATTATTTTTCCAGTCTGAACGTTCTTCGCAAAAGAACTGAAGTAAAAGCCCATCATGACTGTAAGGTAGCTTAGGAGCAAGATGGACCCCTAAGAGAACGCATAAAATCAGCATTTTCCTCACGCACAATACCATACGATTGCTTTGGACAAACCTTAAAGTAATTACTCTTTCCCTCGCCATACATGTACGACAGCAAGAACACGCAAAGAATAACAGTAACCACGTCCCATTGGGGGAATATCAATGTAAAGGTATTTTTCACAAGATCCATTGGCGCAGCTTCCATGGCGAAGAAGGCGCTAAAGAATACTAGAGCAGGGATCTGGAGCAAGCATACTTGAAGGGCATAGGCGGAACCAATTTCCATACTAAGGGCAATATTACCATTCATTGCAAATGAGATCGCATTCTGCGCCACCTTAGCAACCTGAAAAATCGTGAAAATTGAACGGAAAGGGTTACCAAAAACTCAGTGGTGTTCGGCACAAGAGCAAACAATGTCATTCCAAGGAATTTCTCGTCAATATCGAGATTCTCCAGTACCACATCCACTGTATCAACCAGAATCTCCGCAATTACAGCGTATAGCACTGTTGCTCCAAGCAGAATTATGGAACTTTTAGCCCGACTCCAATTCGGTGCGTCATGACCCCCATGTCCAGCATCCGGAACAGCCACAATGTCTTCTTCAACTATAGGCATGGAATGCAATGCCGGCCTGGCAGGTGTAGTAGAACTCTTTCTCCCCATACCATGACGTTGGAAGTCTTGATAAGCAGCGGTGGTTGTCACGGCAGCTATTTCTGCCATGCTGCGGACGAACTCAGCGTTCTCCTCCGCGAATAATCTGTGAGATGTAGGTGTATCCCGCGAGCCAGCAGTAGTGGAAGGTGTCAATAAATCATCTGCCGAACGCGGTGGAACCACATGTAGTGTTGACCCTCGACTTTGCGAGTTAGCAGAACTTCCAGCGCCATCTACTCTCAGCCCAAAGTTATCCAAGGATTGTCCCAAGATCCGCTTAAACATTACATTATCACGAAGTGAGCCAGATGTTGATGCTCCAGCCGTTGTCCCATAGCCCTGTTGATTGCCAATACCATCGTGACCTCGTGATGAGGGCCCACGAACAGGCTCTACAACGGGAGGATGGGTGGGTTGTGCGGGGGGCTGGACTGGAGGAACCGAATGCCAAATAACAGCGGCATGAGTCCTCAAGGTGAACCACAGTCCAATCACATAGGATATAAACAGGAAAACTGCGGCTATGTAGGTGTATGGCTGCACCGCATCCCTATAAAACTCATTGCTCAGGTTGGGAGGTGTCTGGATGAAAAAGCACCGACGACAATCCGCATGGTGAGGATCTTTCTCAGGACGGCACGCCCGACAAGCTAATTCGTACTATATTTCCATTCAGTAATCATAAACAAGACAGAAAGGGTATGTAACGCTCACAGTCCCATAAATCTGGTAAAATAGGGTTGGTGCGAACACTCCGATTACAGCAAAAAGAAGCATAGTAGAAGTAACACCAGCAGACTTCGCATTAAATCGCTGAGTCTTTCGTTTGATAGCACCCGAACACATGCTAAGCCCGGGCATAAAGACAACGCCGGCAAGGATACTCCCGACGACGCTTCCCTCAACCAACCTCCCCTTCCCTTCTTTCAGGGCAACACAATAAAGGTATACTTCAACGATAGTGGAGAAGAAGGCGTTAATCGTAGCACCCATTCCCATACTTGATTGCGCGGAAATCGAAGCCACGGCCTGTCCAATGAAGTACGCCAGAGGGATCACAGAGCATAAACTCAAAGTGAAGACCATCGCCGGGGTCGTTAACAGAGTATCCCGACCCAAAGCCTTACCCAGAGCATAGTGATCGGCTATGACGAAGAACACCACCATCATCAAGTTGATGAAAAAGATATTCGTTCCATCGATGGTATATTTGTAGTACTTCCAGCCCACGGCACGATAGGTGCAGAGCAGGATCGAGGTAGAAGGTGTTCCGGGTCTCCTGCTGTAGGTATGATCCGAATGAAACGATAGCGCTAACGGATGCCGACGAAGATGGTCGCATAAAAGGGCGGTAACCTTAGCCATAGGAATCGTGAAGACAAGCAACCAACAAAGGCAAGAGACAAACAACAGCAGTGGAGCTGCATGACAAACGTGTTAGCACCCACAAAAAAACACGGGAGGGATATAACTACCGATAATGAAGTAAAACCAGACGAAAAAAAGCACCCTTCCAACGTTCCATTGGCCACGGCCAAATAATCTCCGTTTCTTCCTTTGTGACTGGAAACCGCTCAATAGCCCTGTTCGTTCGCCAGTCCCAAGAACCGAATCGCTCTCGCTCACGGAATCAAGACTCTCTCGTCTGCGGCCCACAAGGGTTCTGGGAGTATGCGGCCCAAAGAATGTTTGACCCTCCTCAATATCACCGGCCTGCCATTGTTCATATTCACTAATGCTTCTACCTTCACCCTCGTCCTCTTCCGCATATGCTTCTTCTTGCTTAAGCTCTACAAAACGACCAAACGGATACCATAGATATCCAGCGAGGCCAAGAAGAACCCTTCCATATTCCCTGGCGCTATAGGTGAAAAAGAACAAGTAGCAAGTCATCGCAGCGACCAGAGAAGCCAGCGCAAGCCACCATCCGAAGAGCAAAACCCATAGGATGTTTACTAGGAACAAAGCATTCCCGACTCTTCCACCGGGCGCTGAATGGATGTCCCCTTCTGCTGTCCTTTGCACTGAACGATTTTTCTTGTACAATGCGGGCTTCCATATCCTGATACCGAAGGGATGGGTAACGTTGATTGCTTCTTGACGATCCTTGAAACTTGTTAGATGCCTCTCGGGAAAAGGCCTGCTTCTACTCACTTTCAGAGTAAATGATTCCACGCTGCCAGCATCACTCGCTTCGTAGGTTCCCCCCCTCACGGTACGTTCTTCACCATCTTCCTCCCCTTCCGTCTCCTGCTCCTCGCTTGGCGGGTCACCCTGTTGAGAAACAGGCTCACCACCCATGCTGTCGACGTCCGAAAGAGCTGTCTGTGGAGTTGTTCTCCGTCTCAATAGCTGCGAATGTCGCCTCATAGCTGAAAACCCAGTACTCCCGGTAGCGCTCCTATGTCGTTGTCCCAAATCCTCCTCTACTTCATCCGTTTCGTCGTCGACGCTGAACTCTTGTCTATCATGTCCATTAGCTGTGTGCTTTCCCACACCGCCACCACGGGAGCCGCTATGACTCCCGGAGCACATACCCTTTATGAGGATGTCCCACCGTGGAAGTCCGGCGAGTAGTGGAGGGTCTCCGAGGCTTCCTATCCGGAGAAGATATCCTCCCTCTCAAGGAAGAAGCTGCAGACGATGTCCTGGATAACCTGGATTCCGTGCTTGCGATATTCTCCGGAGAGTGCGTCCGGATATGTTCAGCCGCGCTGCTAAAAGATTCGAGGGAACCTAAATGCAGCGGCGGTAAAGCGACAAAAGGCAGAGGAGGCACCAGTCAGTAAAAGTTATATTTGCATCCAGGGAAAAACAAAATGGCTGTAGTAATCCGGATCGCAATAAGAAACACTCCATGAGAATGTTCAAATGAGACACAAAATGAGGGGAAGTAAAAAACGTACTTGGAACATCTCTGCTTGCGTCTCCACTTGCGAGAGGCGTCTGTGGTTCTGCCGGCGTCCTGTCTTGTTGGCTAATGTGCCGTACTGTCCCTGTTGAACGGGAGCTCTCAGAGTAGGGACCTAAATCCTCGTGTCCGGACATCTGAGAGGAGAACGAGGTAGCAGAAGTTTGTCGAAAATCCGGGGCTAGCAGATTTCTTGGACTGAATGTCGAAACAGAATGCAGCTCCTGTTGTGTTGACGAGGGATTTTGAATGTCGGGTGACGCGTGGCGCAGAGGTATTTCTTTGGTCACTGCTGCTCGCTGTGGTTTTCAGATTAAAGCAAGACAAACAGGGAGGCGGGGTGGAACTAATTGGGTGAGGGAATGGGGGGGCAGGTGCTATTGTGGCCCGTTCCGATCGTGGTATACCGGTATTACCGTATCTGATGGGGCACTGGAACTGGGCACTGGGGAAGGATGACCCGACCAAGGGAATATGATATCCTATCATACAAGTACAGAAAAACGGGCAAGTGACAGGTTCCCTTTCTATTCTTTATTTCATCTCCCCTCCCTCAAAGAAGATAAATGACGTACTGCTTAATCTGTATTTATCATCTGCTCTAGCTTTTCTGCAAATAGATAGTCTAGTCTATGTGGGTTCCTGCCTCAAATGGAGGGCACACTCACTAGGCAAGAGAAGGATGAAGGGGATATAAAGAAGAGAAGGCGGAGGAGGAAGAGGAGGAGGGGAATGAAACCATGAGGGGAAAGCAAGAGGGAAAAAAAATGAGAGGATGAAAAAGAAATGAAAAAGAAAATGAAAAAGGAAAACAAATGAAAACGAGAATTGTGTGACCGCGATCACGAACGATCTACTCGTACGATACATCAAACCTGGAGTGTACAAGTACCGTACAAGTACTCGTACACAGTAATAATACTTGAAGAATGTTAACCCAACTCTATTTACCTCCTCCGGGTAGCAGACTCTCCCACAACAGCCTTTATGTTCCCACGCAATTCTCGAATACCAAGATCACTTGCCGGTATTCTCTACCGTACTCGAGTACCGTACTCCCAAGGCCACTTTCGGCCTTCCCATTCGAACCAAGAACAGTAGACTGGCAAGGAGAAAACCCCCACCCGACCAAGTCCTGACTGTACTGTACAGGTACTTGGGTAGCTACCATGCCCACACCACGTACCGGTACTTGTACAATCTGTACCCGCACAAACTTGCGTATAAAAATGCGTCTCGCGAATAGACGTGGGTAACCGGACAGCAAGGGATTTGAGGTGTCAAAGCTTCTTGCTTGTTTCAGCAATTCCCTCGCCAAACCCATCCTCCGATTTCCTATTTACCATGAGGATAACTGCGAGTACCGTTCTCGTACAGTAAAAGTAGAACGATCAGGCCCCCAGAATCCCTGGCTGCCTATCCAGTCACCCACCTCTTACCCTGGTACCGGTACTGGTACTGTACGAGTAGTATGATATTTACACATGTTCTGCGGCACACCTGCAGTCACTCAACCACCGAAGATCAGCTCTGTGGTGGAGAAATCTGATTTAAATCACATCCCGCTCGAGCACCGTACAGGTATCGTACAAGTACTCGAGTACTTTTGCCCGCACACTTGCCCCTCGTCTCGTCCAAGTACCAGCGCCTTTGGTTACCGTACTCCAATCACCCCCAAGTCTAACGCCCCAGCGGATGATGATGGATAAACAGATATCACACTCCAAAGCACTCCAAAATTTAATAACAAAACATCACGCCAACAACCCACCTGACACTTGCACTGCCATAGCAATGACCACTCACAACTACCATACTCGAGTACAATTACCGGTATACAAATTCAAGCCCATACCGGCAACGCAATATCTCTTCCATAAAAGCAAGCCCATACCCTGAACGTATTATAACACAAACCCAGACCTTACAGCATGACTTGCAGCGCAGTGCGAAGTGGATTACCGAGTAGGAACAACCGACTTAGTATGACTGGACGTGGGTGTCATCTTGCCAGCGGATACCTTGCTTCGCCCCAGCGTTGTGCGCAGATACTGCATACCGTAGTATCATTAGGGGAAGGGAGTATGATACCGGTACGGCAGGGTGTATCGCGGGAATTCCCGCACCAGAGGGGGGGTATTTGTATCCAACGGAGGTCGTCTGCTAATCCCCAAGCATCGCACAGTGCCCCACAACACCGGTGCTCATACCTTCACGAGCAATGCTTTAGAAGTTCCCACAGCCAATAGGCGCGCCCTCAATCAGGCAGAAAATCAATGGAACTCTTCCACCGGCAAGCACCCCTGCTCGCTTCCGCTGATGCCGGACAGAGGGGAAAAGCTTAATTACGTGCCAAGGTTGCCACGTGCGCCATGCAAATGGTGTCCGGGAACACTTGGCCCACATACAGTTTTTGGGAAGATCGGGTGTCAAATAAATCAAGGAATTTGATAAAAAAAAAAAATTTCCCATATTTTTCCACCCCCCCCTCTTCCCATCTGCCGCACGATTGTTAGGTGAAATAAGCTAATTAGAGGGCACATCTTCAATTGCCAATTCGAAAGAAAAAGAGAAAAAGAAAAAGAAGAAAAAAAACAAGAATACATGCAAAACTCAAGGCATAACATACCTTGCGAAAAGTGCATGCCAGTTTTGATGCTGTCAGACCAAAGAACAAGGATTATCGCAAATGGGAAAAAATGGAAGCATGCTTTGTCTACACCCCCATCCTAGGGCGCTCCTCCAGACACTCTCCAATCATCTCATATTAGCCCTCATTGCGTCTTTTTGCTGAGACTGCTCTCGATAATTTCTTTTCCAGCGGCAACTGTTTCTCCGGGTCCTCGCTGCTTACCCCAGAGCGCACTGCTACTAGTGGGCACAACCCGGGTGCCATGGCCAATCTTCTCCAGATCGCTGATCTCCGCCTCCTCATCCTCACCGAGGCTCTCTTGCAGAAATCTTCTGCGTACCATGAACCGTTCACGCCGCTCCTTGAGAAGCCCTGGACTACCGAGCTTGGAAAATGCGGTTCTAACTGCAAGCCTGGTTGCGAAATATATATGCTCCGAGAAAAAAACGGCAGTAAGAACTCCCCAGAGTGTAAGATCCTTAGGAGTCCCCGCGGGGGTAGTAGAGTCGGAGAATAGGTAAATGAGGACTGCCGAAGAGATAGAGCCCATCCAGGACAAGAATGCAAGGTTACTATCCATCCTGTTAGTGCTCACCGCTAACACAACAGGGCGACATCGAGCATACTCTAGCCAAGGGCCGATAGAATCGGCCCTATGAGGAACAGGCCTCTTCATCTCGACACAAATTTTCACGGCATCGCTTCGAAGCTCGATCCAGTTGATAATCAAGAATGAGACAGAAGCCAAGGGCCAGACCGGGGAAAACAAAGTCAGATAACCAAACTAACACGGAGATGCTATTAGCCGATGCCAGAGAGTAGCCCGAATCAGGGTAATGGAATCAAACCTGCATGCACATTTCCCGAAGGTCGGCAGTGACATCGTATTCATCCAACTCCGCTTCGTTTCTGACTCTCTTTAAGAATGCATGCTCGCTCTTATCGTCATTGACTTCACCTGCCTCCTCGAAGCCTTTTCTGTTGTTCTGGAGCTCCTTGGCCTTTCTGAAAACTCTCCTCTTGACATATGGAACGATGGTTTCCAATGCCAAATTGACAACTTGCGCAGTCACGGTAAAGTAGATGACTTGTTTTCTTAGTCTATCAGTATTGACCTGGAATACTGGAGCTGCCATTGGTTTCCCATCTGCAGTGGAAGGCTGGACAGTCAAGCCAAAAACGTCCAAGTGGGGTATAATCAGATTTCCGAAAGGAACATATATGAATGCAGTGAGGAAAAGCGGGACATAAGAGCAGATAAAATTGAAAACAAAGATTTTCTGGGTCATTGCTGCTTCCTGGGATGATTCATTCTCATAGTTCTCAAATTCCGTCAGCCCAGCTGCAACTTTCATGAGGATGGACATGAGGATTGGAACGAATAGAGTTAACAGTGCGGTAGGAATGAAGACCTGCGGTCAATCAGCAAATTTGCGGACAGAATAAGTAGAACATGGTTTTACCAAAACAGACTTGAATGGTCCATTATAAACCTCCGAAATAAAGATCTCAATTACAAAAATAGTCGCATATAACGCCGAGAGCATACCACTAGCTCCCAAGGCGAATGGGACCTGGAGGAGTTGACGGCATAGGCGTTTCCAAGCCGGAAAAAACTTGACCACCTCTCCAGTAACAGGGTCCTCAACCTCCTTCTCATGTACAAATTGAGCTCTCTTGTTCTGTAGTTGTGACACGTTGCGGACGCCCCACCGGACGGCCAAATCGACCTCCTGGCGCTTCCAGTACTCAACGAAGATGACGGACCAGAGACAGTTGGAAATAGCGAAGACAAGCGAATACTGCGAAAGCAAGGAGTAGGATCCCACACCAATTATGGCTGCAACAACCAAGAAAGAGAGATAGGATTGTAGGAAAGCGAAGTAGAAGGCAATCTATATAATTTATGAGTTTTCGCTAGTCGCCTGGATGGATATCCGGGATCTGCTTACCCTCTCACCAAACCGATCTTTCAATTTCTCCAGCTCCTCTATTGAAACTATCCAGGTGGTAGACCAATCCTTCAACCACATCTGATAAGAGGTTAGGAGCAGCTCTAAAAAATAACCCCCCTACTTTCAAGCTCTAGAAATTCACCTTGTTGAAATCAGGGTCATGCAACGGGAAAACACTCTCCACTAGGGTCCAGGGACCCTGTTTGGGGGTAATCCCAACACCACCTTCATCCACTGGCAACGTGATCAACTTGTACAGAATTCTCAACCTCTCTGCCTCTGTCAATGGCTCTTTATCTAACGATTTTTGAGTCTCCTTATCAGGTGCTGCAAGGCGAACACCGAAAAGCCAATCCTTTACTCTGACCCAGTAATCAGCACACACTCACCAAACACTACTACCCACTACCCAGAGAGAGAGCCGGAGCTTACCGAGACCTGTAAACGTCGCCAATAAGCTTCTGCTCAGAGCGAGCAGTGACAAAGACGAGAACAGATCCATGGGCACCGTCACGGGCTTCAGTCTTAAGCCCAACCGAATCCAAGGCAGCAATCAACTTTTCAAACTGAGCTTCAGCTTTCTCCTTGGCTAGGATATACACTTTTGTCATTAACTGATTCAAGCTGAAGCTCTAACTGGGTGGAAACTTTCGCTTTGCTAAAGCTAGCATACACACCTGTACCTCCGAATCGGAACGAGATCACGTAGTCCACACCCTGATTCTTCGCCACAGCTGCCCGGGAAGACGAGGGGTTAGGCTCTGCCATGGCTGCTCTTGTTCAGCCTTATTTCTTTAAAAAAAAATTTAATTTTGTGAATAGTCTTTTGTAGAAATCGGAGTCAGGGAATGAGGGAGCTGGCAGTAGATGGGGGAGGAGGGAGAGGAAATAGAGGAAACGAGGATTTTATTTCCAAGGACGGGAAAAACTGTCTGGCATTTTGCATCACTCGCGAACGTTCTGCGGTGCAGCCGAACCCACGCATTACTCGTAGGCCCAAGTGTGGCAATTACGCTCATTGGGTGCCGGTGCTGCAACGTATTTCCCAGACCTATTTTTTGTTTTTTTGTGGTAAATCTCTGGATTCCCGGATTGAGTTAATCTCTCTCAACTGTTTACATGAGGCCAGTCGTTTCTATGAGTACAGGTACATATCTTTGATACACAGTATGGCAGCGAACAAGAACTGGTAAAATATGAGAACAAGATACCGTTCTTATTGATGATAATAATACAGTGGTAACGCTGGAAAAAATCAGCAGAAGATTAGAGGAAAAAATCGAAAATTGGAGGAAACCCTTCAAACCCGCCCAACCGGCACTCCCGGGTAAGGAAGATTTTTGGTAAAGAATTATTGTTGAAAAACGAGGAGTGGGAAACGGATTGAGATAGGTAACTGTCGGTCACCTGAAGCATCACATAAACGTTTTTCTGACGAGACCAAGCGGTCTTCCTAGCGCCTTCGTGTCCCAATCCCTCTCGCTCTGCTCCTGCTCCTGCTACGGCTCCTACTACGGCTTCTGCTCCTGACCCTACGAGTACGGCTCCTAGACCTACTGTAGCTCCTCGAGCTGTAGCTGCTGTAGCTCGGGCTTCTTCTTCTCCCACGTCCCTGCCCAGCTCCATAACGACCTCCACCGGTTCTAGGGGGAGGGCTGTACCGAGTGTTCCTGCCAGCAGGTTCGCGGCGACGATATGAGGATCTGGACCTAGATCTGGAAGGGGATCTTGAGCGCGATGAGAAAGAAGGGGATCTGGTTCTGGCCCTCGAGGTAGGTCGATAACTATCCCCAGCGGCAGGTCCGCGGTAACTGTCGCCTCGAGGAAACCCCCTTCCAGCACCAGCACCAGTACCCGCATGTATACGGCGAGGCGGAGATCGATAGCGGTTCCCGGGCTGTCCACGGTAGCGAGGGCCCGGGGGAGGTCTGCGAGTCTGAGGGCCAGAGCCAGGGCCAGAGGGGTCTGAGCGACGTGGTATAACTATCGAAACGTTGATTACTGCACCATCGAGCTGACCCTCATGCATATGTGCGATAGCAGCGTGAGCGGAGGAGGAGGAATGATAGATGACATAGCATACACCACGGTTTGTATTATCTATAACGGCGGGAAAATCAGGTAAGTAGGGAACTTAACCACCAGGGGGAAGGTGGACAAGTAGAACGGCTTACATTGGTGATTTAAGGGCATGTCCAACATCTTAATCTCCCCATAACTTGAGAAGATTTCGCTGATGTGAGCTTCGGTAACATTCTTTGTGAGCTTCTCAATCACAATCTAAAACTTTACCATTAGTACGAGGATCTGAATTTCCCAAACCAATCAGGTGGAAAGGCTAGAATAGGCACCACGAACTTTTGTGCTCTGTATCTCAGGACTAGCGCTTCGTGAATAGCTCCTTCCCCTGCTACCACTCCTGCTTCTCGACCTTGCCCTGGAAACGGGAGACTGTGTCGGAGACCTAGATCTATTGGATACGGGGGACCTTGTCCCGGAACGAGAACGAGTGATGGAACGAGAATTTCTAGAATAAGATCTCCCTCCACGAGGCGGGGAGTTCGAACGGCTGGGGGAGCGGCCTCGAGATAGGGAACGGGTTCTGGAACGATCCATTGGCGTGAATAGTGGTTAAGGGAATTTGAAAGGCGATGTGAAAAAGTTGACTGGGTTGCTGGCTTTCGCGGATAATGTCGACAGGTCGAGACCAGTGGCGATGCTTGGGACTTGTGTTGACCACGGGCAGCGATGGGACGCGCAGAACGCGAGTGCCAAGCATGCTTCCCAGTGAGGGCAAGCCAAACCCCGAGGCTCATTAGGTGAGCACGGTATCATCATTATCAAGTCACAGATCTCACCAGAGCAGGGGTCTGAATCAGGTAAACTGGCGGAGCGCCAAGAATCGTTTTCTTGGAAGGAGCTACAGGTGCTCGAGTGCTGTACGAGTAGCAGTTGCATATCATAGGACACCGGGTGAAAGGTGACAATAGCCACCAGCGAAGTATGATAGTTTACTTGTAGAGGACTGGTGCCGGTGTTTGGGATTTGGAAAATAAAACGCGTTATGAAAAATTTACTCGATAACAACCTATTGGTCATTTGTTACCTCATTGACCCACAAGTGCTCGGTCGATAGGCATTTGAATATCGCATTATGAAATATGGTGGGGAGACTCCTCTACTCCGTATGAGTACGAGTAGACTACCACTTTAGCACTCGAGCAATGTAACCTCGCGGGTGGGGAATTTCCCTCTCTTTTTCCGCCAGTTATTCTACTGTATTTAAAATTATTTTAACCATATCCGCGCAAGATACGTGCATTTTAATTTTAACACCAGATTTAGGCACGACCACTGTCGGATTCAGGCGGCTGAGATGAACCTCTAACGCACCGCCACTGCAGCACAACCTGGAATTCCCTCATATCATTGGAGGATTCCAATGCACGTGGTATCCGGGTGCTATTACTCGAGTACGAGTACAGTTCATTAAATACTCTATTTGTCCTGGTCGTAAGGAGGAGGTATCATAATGATACACCTGAACCATCCAGAGAGTTCGGAGGTGGAAAAACCTGGACAGCCCTCCCAAGCGCCCAAGCCAGTCACCATCAGAAAAGCTATCAACAAGATGGTACGAGGTATTAATACTACATCTGCACCGCAGAATCATTATACCGGTATGGCAATCGCAGCTGATGCGCAAGCAACTGCCCAATACATGCAAAACCCCCCGACCCTCAATACCCCAATGGAGCCTTCACCAATGCAGAAAAATGTTCTTATCTTCCATTGCTCTTGCTCTTCCTCCCAAGTTAAGTAAGGTGGGCGCATACCAGCACGATACTGCACAGTACGAGTATTGTTCAACACTTCCCTCACCCGAAATTTTCAACCCGTTGGCGCCACCGCAAACAGAATAGCAGTTGCCCTCCGACGAAGGGAATCTCTGCGCACCTTCCAAGTCCAAGACAAGTTGCCTTCCGCGCATTTTTTTTCTTCCCATATCGAAAATGGCTCCCTTGACGAAGTTTCCGATGCCTACCCTGCCGATCCCTACCCCTGGGTCCCCCCGTGCTCGCTGGAGGGATGAGGCGATACCTGCCTCCTCAACCAGTAACTCTTATGGATTTTTGAGTTCCTCTCATTTTCCATTATCGTCCTCTAGCCCCCTTCATTCCAATTTCCTCTTTCTACCCTCCTCCTATTCTCGATCCATTGCGCTGGGCTCCAGTGTACCAACAACGGAGGAATCAACAGCATCGGCAACAATTTCGACGGAAGCGGCAGGAGTAGCTGTTGGGAAGGCCATGGCTGCACCAGCGCTCACTGGAGGCAATCGTTTTCCCCTAGGAGATACCGGTAGTAGTTATGGCAACCCTGGCACCGGTAGTGTTCCTGGAAGTACTATTAGCACGCCGGGAATGTCGCAATCCTCGTCGGCTCTCAACCTCACCTCCCTCAATTCTCCGAATGCCCTATCTTTGACATCTTCTAGCTTCTCCGAGTCTTTCCCCGGTGGAGAGGTCAGTGGTAGAAGAAGAAGCGTCTCGCAGGTTGGAGCTTCAGGCGGAGTTCCTACCACAGCTACGTCACCTGTAAACGTGATCTCAAACCCTACCACTGCGCGGACATCCACGAACGAGGGCGTGGGCATTCATGTACAATCCCCCAATTTCTTCCCTTCTCCCCTTCAACAACAACAGCAACAACAGCAACAACAAGCGCAGACACCACAGACGCACCCACGCAGATCCCGATCGAGATCCACTATGAGTAGACATGATGGGACCCAACCGGTCTTCAGTCAGCAGCAACAGCAGAGGACTCTTTCTAGATCTCCTATATCCCCTGGTACTCATACCAAGCGGTCTTCAATCTCCAGCAGCATAACCAATCTAACGGATCCGGATAGGGACAAGGATAGGGAGAAGAAACCTCGACGTTATGGGAGAATTGGAGTGTGCGCCCTTGACTCCAAAGCGAGGAGCAAACCTTGCCGAACTATCTTGAACAGATTAATCGAGCACGGGGAATTTGATACGGTTATATTCGGTGACAAGGTTATTTTAGATGAGTGTAAGTACAACTTTCATCCGATCTTTTACACTTTTGCTTGTTCCTTTACGGGGCGAAGGAGAATAAAAACAAAGTAAAACATCCCACGTTTTGCTGTTATTATTTTTGATTGGTCCATACCAGAACCTTTAAAACAGAGATTGGGATGGACCTAATACAAATCTTCCAAACATCTCTTTTCCAGGTTACCCCCAATCTTTCTCTGCCCCCCCTTTCTTTCTTCCATTAACGCATGTTATGGCCCCCCACCATAACGCTCTCCGGTGACACACTTGCGTATTTGATTGGGGCTCTCATGATAATTCGAAATGCTAATATTTTTGTGACATTGTCAGCCATCGAAAACTGGCCCACTTGGTGCGTACATGGCATTATTCCTTTCTTTAATTATTCTCCTTCAAATGACCGGCATACTGTTTTGGGGGCACAATTTTGAATCCGGGTACCTGATCCCCACAATCCAACCGAGGAATGGGTCTCTTGAAAAGACATCGGGGGAGGTCAGAATTTGTTTTTATTTTGTTTTTTTCTTTCCTTCTTTCCTTATTTCTGGGGAAAACCGATTTTTTTGAAAATCTTTTTATCACTTTTATGGGAGTCCCGTCTTGTGAATTTTGTATGAGATTGTCATGTTCTGGACTTGATTTCGTTTCTTGTTTACTTTTTTCCAGTCTGGAATTCTTCATAAAGGCCCCTTGACTAACCTTTGACAGTGATTTTCTGATATCATTTTTTTCGACCGGGTTTCCGCTGGATAAAGCAACGCAATATGTTGCCTTACGCCAACCATATTGTGTCAATGACCTTCAGATGCAAAAGATCTTGTGGGATCGCCGACTTGTTCTTCGTGTATTAGACTCAATCAAGGTCCCGACCCCCAAACGCCTCGAGGTTTCCCGAGATGGCGGTCCATATCTTCCCAGCGAGCTCGCCTACTATTTGGAGATGAAGACCAGTGTAAAGGTTCCACCGCAAGGCGAATGGAAGATGCCACAAAAAGTTGAGTTGAGCGAAGATGGAGAATCGCTCATCGTCGATGGGAAGAGTCTCAAAAAGCCATATGTTGAAAAGCCAGTTAATGGGGAAGATCACAATATTCACATCTATTTTGCCAACGGCGGTGGGGGAAGGAGACTGTTTCGAAAAGTGGGGAATAAGAGCTCCGAGTTCGATCCCAATCTCTCACAACCTAGAATGAAAGGATCCTTTATTTATGAACAATTTATGGATGTCGACAACTCAGAGGATGTCAAAGCATATACTGTTGGCCCTGAGTTCTGCCATGCGGAAACTAGGAAAAGTCCAGTTGTTGATGGTCTCGTACGTAGAAACACCCATGGGAAGGAGATCCGGTTTGTCACTAAGCTCTCACCTCTTGAATCTGGTATGGCGACTAGGATTTGTGAGTCATTTGGGCAAGCGGTCTGTGGATTTGACTTGTTAAGGGTCAATGGAAAGAGTTATGTCATTGATGTCAATGGTTGGAGCTTCGTGAAGGACAATACGGAATACTATGATCGCTGCTCCAGTATTCTCCGGTCTACCTTTATCAAGGCCTCTCAGGAGAAAAATAGAGAGAGCTACAGAGACCCAGGTGCTATGGGGCCCTCGATAGTTCCAACCAAGGAGCGGAGCCCGAGCAGGAGGTCAAGCTCTAAACGCAACTCCAGTAGCCACCGCTCAGCATTGCACAGCCTGTTGTCTAGGTCCCCTTCATCTTCCAGGCTGACAAGCCATCACCAACAACCACCGCCAGCAGTCACGACGCCGAATACCAATCCTACTCCCGGACAATTACCCACACCGGCTGCTGCAAGCCCTATTCCCCACCCTCCATCGGAACCAATTCCTGGGGAGAATAGAGAGAAATCGAAACCGGTGGCGCCTCAGCATTCTTGGAAGTTGAAAGGCATGGTAGCGGTTCTACGACATGCTGACCGCACCCCGAAGCAAAAATTCAAATTCACTTTCCATTCTAAACCCTTCGTGGATCTGCTTAAGGGTCATACCGAGGAAGTTATACTTGTCGAAGAGGGCTTACAGGATGTTATTGAAGCTACTCGCCGAGCGATTGAAGGACGCACTGAAGACATGGATAAGCTCACAGTACTCAAGAATGCATTGGATAGGAAAGTCGGGTTTGCGGGCACTAAGGTCCAGATAAAGCCAATGTTCCTCCAAACAGAGGTTGTGGAGGAATTGGTTGAGATTAATAGTGATGGTTCGGCGGCTTCTCCAGGCACCGGTTTCACTGAAGCACGTGTCAACGTCAGCCGAGTCAGCAGTGTGTCCTCGTTCTCTAACGATCCGACGAAATCGAATCAGGTTTTGGACAAGCTACAGTTGATCATCAAATGGGGCGGTGAACCCACCCATTCTGCAAGGTATCAAAGCCAAGATCTAGGTGAATCATACAGGAAGGATCTACTCCTAATGAATAAGGATGCGTTGGAGGATGTTTCTGTTTTCACGAGCTCGGAGAGAAGGGTTACTACAAGCGGTAAGTCTTGGGTTCCTCAGTATATCTAGGTTGATGCTGAGGTTTGCTTTCGATACTTAGCTCAAATCTGGACTGGCTCTTTCCTGGATCGTAAAATTCCGGATGACTTCGTGAAAGTGAGGAAGGATCTACTTGATGATTCGAACGCTGCGAAGGACGAGATGGATAAGGTGAACTTAACACTGCCTGAATCCCAACCTTTTATCTAACATTCTCCAATAGGTCAAGAAGAAGTTGAAATCGCTGCTCCGTGAAGGCTCGAAACCCTCTCCGCAATTTGCTTGGCCAAAAGATAATATGCCGGAACCTTCCGTAGTGATGCAAAATGTTGTATCTTTGATGAAGTTCCATAGAAGAGTGATGCATCAAAACTACAGTAGGCTTTTTGGCACTGGCGCATCTTCAACATCTTTGCCGTCCCTCGCTCTCTCGGGCGCACCATTTCTCGCTCAGTCTACCGCCAATATTCAATCACGCTGGTGCTGTGGTGAGGATCCTGAGCTTTTCAAAGAACGCTGGGAGAAGTTATTCGTCGAGTTCTGCGAGTGGGAGAAGGTCGACCCTAGCAAAATCTCAGAGCTTTACGATACAATGAAATACGACGCACTGCATAACCGTCAATTTCTAGAGGCGATTTTCATGCCTTCTGCCGCAATGTTGGAGGCTGATGACATGGACACCGCCGTCCTCGACTCGATGGAGGATTTGAATCCGCCTACTTCGGGAGACGTTAGGAAGTATTCCTTTTCTCCTAGCTCCGAAGGAGAGAGGGAAATCATTCAACAACAGCAAAGAGGGACCAGCAAAAGGGAGCGCCTGAGCTTGCGAAGCCGAAACTTACTCAGTGGAGGAACTAGGCCTTCCTTTGAAGGGGAGGCGAGCCGTAGCTACGCCGCCACTCAATTGAACTCCAAATCTAAGAGTGATGTTAGACTCTCTAAACTGCGTGAGCTTTATCGACTTGCCAAAGTCTTGTTTGAGTAAATACCTTACACTTTTTTGCGTGTGTTTTATTTACTGATTTTCCACCTTAGTTTCGTATCTCCGCAAGAGTACGGTATTGACGATGAAGAGAAACTAGAAATCGGACTCTTGACTAGCCTACCGCTCTTGAAACAGATTGTGAAGGATTTGGAGAATGTCCAGGCGGCCGAAAATGCGAAGTCTTTTATCTACTTCACGAAAGGTATGTTGGGCCACTTGTGCCTCAACTACTGCGTTCTAAATCATGAATCTCTAGAATCACATATCTATACTTTGCTCAATTGTATCATTGAGGGGGGTCTCCCAATCAAGATGGAACGTAACGCCATTCCCGAGCTTGATTATTTGACCCAAATATGCTTTGAGCTTCTGGAATCGGAAACCAAGGATCAACCGGGAGACTCGCCTGACGAGCCAAATACTAGCTCCTACAGTATTCGGGTTAGTATATCCCCAGGGTGTCATAGTAAGGATCCTCTCGATATGCATCTCGACGCCAAGCACTGTATTGGATGCGCGCCGCGCAAGAGCTTAACCAGGCACTTGGACTGGAAATATGTTGTCGAAACATTAAGAGAGAAATTCCACCGTGTCAAGTTACCTAGCAAGTTTATCCCGATCAACCTTGGGGAAGCAAGCCTGAAGAAGGGCACTGGAACGAACGAGGGCAAGGAGGAGAGGGACACTGGAAGGAATGGCCTTGGGGCTATTGGTGGCGCTGCAGGAAAACAGTCACCCCCTGAAATGATCATGGAAGAGCATCTGGAAGAGGTGGCTATCAGGGACGAAACCGGAAACATGAAAAACGACAACTAAGCATAGAAAATGAGCACCCTTCTAATTTCTTATCGCCTGTGTATGGGCCATCGGGGGTGCCTTGGGGTCATTAATTGAGGCACTTAATCGTGCGCATGAACAGCTGGGGTAGTACTTCCATAGACGGCTGATTTTGTATTTAACCTTAATATGGAATGAACGAGGGGTTTTTTGTACTCGTACAGGAGATGGGTCCTGGGATGTATGGTACACCGATATACGGAACTTGAGTACCCACCACACCGCAGCCCCCCTAATACTATTGACGCCGAAACCTATATGAAATGCTTTTCGAGTGACCTATGATCTAACACCCGCTCCTCCAAACTCTCCTGCTATTTTACAAAACCCGTCACCCCCCGCCCCTCTCACACCATCACACCAATTCTAACCAACCAGCTATCATACAGTGCACTATTCCCCGCGGGATCCACAAAAACATGATCGACAAGTCGACAGAGCGCGTCCTGGCACTAACTACGCTGGTAAGCCCGTCCATGGAAGATGTCAGGGGAGAGGTAGCGCACTTAAGAGAACTGGTGGCATTGCGGGAGCAGAGGAGTATTTAGTTAGGTACTAGACCGCCCGAGGGGACAACGAACGGGGGAGGACAACGAACGCCAAGTGGGAACCAAATCTACGGGGCAGGTTTCTGTGACATGCTTGGCACCGCGACAGAAAAACTTATTTTAAATTTAGCAACAACCATGCACAAACAAATCAACGTAATAGAGGAACGAGTAAAAAGAAAAACTAACAGTTGAATAAGATTTGAAGAGCTTGAAGAGTGTGAAAGAAGTATAATATCAGGAGAAAGAAAGGAAAAAAAGAGACTATATCTTAGCAGCTTTTTTTAAAGCCTCTTGATGTTCCTGTGGTTTTTGAAAAAAAAAACTCTGAATTTCAGATTTATCAGTAAATACTATTCCTTGAACAGGAATTTTGGTTCTAGTAGAGGGTTTAGAATTGTTTTCCGGTAGCTCATGAAGCTCCTTTATCAAATCTGCCCTATCCTGCCTTTCAATCTCTAAGGCCATGTTCGGTTGCACTGGGCCCATTTTATTTTTACATACAAATGACCGTTTCCCTTCCATTTCAAAATGGAAGAACCGAATGGCTGTTTGGCAACAGTAAATAACATTGACCTTCCATTTCAGATACAGCCCTAACACAACAGTTCCTATGTAGAAACATCACATGTAAATAATTATAATAATATGAGCCTGTACCAGCAAAAACCTGAGTATTAGACATTTGTGTTATGTTGAGAAAAGTTTGTTGCAACCCCAGCAACCCACCAAACTAGTTTTGAGAAATCAGTCATTTTATATCTATTACACATATGAAATAATACTACCCCATCAAAAAAAACTTTAATAATATTCTACAACATTTAAAATTTAGTTTTTAGTAACATATTTAATTCTATGAATTTGGATTCAACAATATATTCATAGATATATAGTCTTTCAGGACTTTTTGTTTCTCGAACCTCTTAGACAACCACGCTTCTTTGCTAACTTGCTTTCATTTACCAATTCACCATCAAATATATCTTGAGTATTTTGATTGTTTTCATCTGTAATATCCAAGCTTGCATTAGAGTTATTAGGTTTCATTCTAGCAACTTTTACTGTTTTTGCTTGTTCAATAATACTAGCTAGAGGTGGGAAATAAAGCCAGGTTGATCGTACATGTTCAGGAGCATAGAGCCATATTTAGGCCACATATTAAACCTTCATTCAGGCTTCAAGCTAATTGGTGGAAGAGCTGCAGGTCATACTGTGCGAATTTGATTTAAAGTAACTCATGATTTCTTAAGATTAAATTTCTGCCATGGATTTAAGGGAAATGCCTTAGCTAAGACAGTACCTAGCAATTCTTTAACAAACAGCAGGTTGTGAAATCCTTGTATCCCCTTAAGTGATTTAAAGAATTGTGTAAGATAATTTTCCCAATTCCAAAATACACCTTCTGCTTGGTCTTCCTCAAAAAGGTCAATTTGTTGAATTGTTTGATTTCCTGCTGTTGTCAATAGAGTCTTACTATAGTCCTTAGCTGTTCATATATTTTGCTGCAAAGCCTTAAACTTTACAGTTCTGAATCCACAATCAACAGAATTTCTTGTATATTCTTTTACTTGGGAGCAAAGTTTAATGCCATCAGTTTGTTTATGTAATACCAGTCAGTACAGGTAGGCTATCAAAGTCTTGTTTTTATTTTGACAACTACAGTTGTCTGCCTAGAGATATATGTGTGGTTTCATTTTACCTTCTAATTGTAAGTAGCAGTACAAAAAAGATACAACTTGATTGAGTCTTTTTAATTACTGTGCTTCTGAATATAGCATGTAACAATGCTTATTAAAGTGTTTGTTCTGATCTACAATACCAAAGAAATATAATTTAAAAGGTGAGTAGAATGACCCCTGTCCTGGCTGTCATGAAAGCTTGAGAATTTCCACTACCTGCTGAAGGTCAAAGGAGTAACATACAGTATCTCCTGGATAGTGAGTTGACTGTACAATAGTAGCTTCATATAGTTCGCAACACTCTCTGTATTATTTTTGATGCTGATCAAAACAGTTCTGAATTTGAAGCAAGTAACTATTTTCCTTTAAAGCTTTTAGGGAAAGGTTCTTTCCATCTTGTGATCTTACATTCACCTTCAACATTATACAGCTATCACAAATATTCTTAGCAGGAGTTCGTATAGGCATGTGCTTGAACTTTGGACTACTTTTCCAATATTGAATGAAGCTGTTAAGAGATAATATTCCGATACCAGATTTATTTATCTTCCCATTTAACATAGTATGCAGGAAGTAAAAAGAGAAAAAGAATAGAAGAAGAATCTGGTTATCTAGCTCCATCTGGTAGTAATGCTTCCATGAATTGTATGATACTTATATGATCTAGTTGCAATTGGCTCTCTATATTCAGTTTCAATTCTGGATAGAAAGTTCATCAGCTTTGTATGATGTGCTAGTGATAGTGTATTTAGAGCTCTCTTTCCAGTATTGCCATGCTTTGCAGGAATAATAGTCTTTCTAGATTTTAAGTGCTTAATTATACTCAATATTTGAGATTTTCTCAGAATTCAGTACTAGTGGAAGAAGGCAGAAGATACTTGCCTAATAAATAGAATTATGTATTGATTTTAGCACAGACATCATGTTGTTTCTCTCTCACTGAGGTCTATTTCTAAGCGAGATTGTTTATTATAACTTCTTGACTCCCTTGGCTGTGATATATGTATTGTATATGTTATTAAATAGCTAGCTAATAGCTTTCTCTACTTAACTGGCAAAGCACAATTCACTTTCATCCAGTGAAACTATTGAGAATATAATGCCCTAGAGGAACAATTTCTCCTACAAGAACAAATATTGTCTATATTAGTAAGATGGTGCTCATACTTTCCCAAGTCCCTCGCACAATCTTACTTTAAGTACTTATTTATGGTAATCTCTTCTTTGTTAATGTCAGTGGCTTTCTCTCTGGACTTGGATTCTGTAAGTCAATTAGTATTTATTTTATATCGTTACAACTTATAAGTTATATTTAAATTACTTCAAACTTGAAGCACTTACAGTAATATTGATTACTAAGTACAAAATTCAGATCCTATATCTGAATTAGTTTAATATTCAGATTCATCCATATTGGAACTGGAGGGATCTGTTGCAGTTGCAGAATTATATTCTCATTCCAACCACTTCATTATTCTGAGACTTCGGATATTGCTAATAATTTAGCAGCTAAAGTTATTTTAATGAAAGATAATAGCATAAAAACTATTAAAAAAATATTCTTGGTAAATTGAACAGTTAATTGCAAGTGTAAGGAGAAATTTAATAACTCTGGATAATTGTCACGAACGTGACCTGGCATGAAAGAGGCTTTCTGTAACGATCCATTTTTAGATAGTTAGTTCTTGGTGACGGGGAACGATACTTATCTTCTCTGTCTCCTTCTTTCTTTGTCTTACGATAGCTCTAGGCATGTGCCTACATTACTGATAGTACAAGACCTTTGTCTTCTATCGGAAACGCCTATCGTAAGCTTTCTCTAACTCGTCTTCGTGGCGAGCACTTCTTGGTGTAATGATAACGTTGCAATAAAGATAAAGATCGTAAAGGTGTTTTATATTCGTTAAAGTAATAAGTAGGAAAAGTACGTAGAACAAAGCGTGAAGAACCTATCTTCCTCGACCGCAGCGGCCTCCTTATATAGTATTCTTCCCGCCTGTAGTCATGTGACCTAAAGTGGTCACATGTGCGAAACCAAATCATAACAAACTAATCATGTGACCAAGGTGATCACATGCTCAAAACCCATGACCTTATAGCGAGGTCATGTACCAAACTCATAAACCAATCATAACGTAATAAACAAGTCAGATGACTCGACTGAGTCATATGCGCGAAAACCCATGACCTCATGATGAGGTCATGTGCAAAACATAAATCATATGCGCAAGGCTTACCCGCAAGGCATACTTGCAAGGCATACTCGTCAGGCGCACGTCCCATGACTCATACTTGAGCCATGTGCGAAAGCATCACAAATCCCACACATAACAAATCATATGACTCTAATGAGTCATATGTGTGAAACAATAACATACCTGTGACTCATAACTATGCGTCACGTGAAAACCCTTTCCTTGCTAAGCCATATTCGTGACATTAGCCCCCTTCCTCCTAAGCCGGAGTCCCATCAGGCTTTTTCTCCCAGTTTCAATAGTTCCCATACTGCTGAGCGCATGGTCCTTCTCAGCTGGTGGAACTTTTCGTCTGCCATCCTCCATCTGACCCTTACCGATTCCAGAATCAGGTTCGCCATTTCGATCGTGTGCCGCTGATTGTCGTTCAGCTGTCTTAGCTCCACGATCGTTTTGTCGTTTGCCGAAATTGTGGCCTCGGCTTGGCCCAGTTGTTCTCGGAGTCCCCGGATTTGCCTGTGTAGGCTCCTGACATCTAGTTCCATGTCTGCGGAGGAGTTTTGGGCCCCTCCTTCCCTGGACCGCGTCCTCGCAGCCCATGCCTTTCTGGCATCTTCTCCTTCCAACTCTTTTCTGATTCCGTCCTTCTGCGGGTAGAATCCCGCAGATATTTTTTGTGCCCTGTGCATCCTGCACCCATTTCTGAAGCATTGTTGCCAATGCTTCAGA